GGACACTCACGGCAGGAGCCTGATGACAACAGAAGCACATCCCCTGGGAAACGACCAGCCGCTGGGACGTGTGCCATCTGATGACGGCTGTGGACGAGTCACCTCCCAGTGGTGTGAGGGCGGTGTGGCTACTCCAGAGAGGGACTAGTACTCGCTGATCAACCGTGTGTTCAAAAAATGTCCTGACGTTGGCAGGTTCTCGCCCCACACTAAGTGGGAAAAACAAACAAACAAACGACAAACGCAGGCTAACAAGGAGCGTGTACAGTACGATCCCCTTTTGTTACAAAGAGAACAGACAAGTGGGCGTGGGGCCGGCTGGAGGTTCGTTTTGCTTGGTAGGTGGCCTGGGTGACGTGGACCCCAGCTGCTGTCTGTCGTGCTCTCCTTCTGCTCAGCCACTGAACGTCTCCCCCAGCGGCTTCTCCGTCAGCCGCCCGGGGCTGGGGGCTGGGGACACGCACGCCTGGGTCATCAGCTCTGCCCTCTCGGAGCCCGCGGGCTAGTGGGGGAGAAGACCACATGAGCTCGGTATCACCACGTGATGGCTGTTAATACCCGGAAGCCTGGGGTGGGTGTGGGGAGTTATTCCAGGAGGGCTTCTGGGAGGAGGAAATTTGGCCCCGGTCTTTCCGCAGGACTAAGCGCGAGGGGAGGCAGCAGGCAGGACGGGAGGGGGCAGACTGAGGGCTGTTTAGGAGAAGCATGGGAGCACCTTGGTAGTGGCGCGGGTGCGGGTGAAGGAGAGAAGCTTCCTGGCCCGGGGACGACACGGACAGAGCCAATACTCACCGCGAGGGAGACGCGCGGACCCGGGATGGAATTCCGCCAGACTGGGTACGTGCGAGCCCAGAGCAAGAGCAGGGGTCACGCAGTCACTGAGGACACGGGCCTTGTTCCAACCCGGGCTCCTGGTCTCAAGCCTCAAAGTGGGCCACACAGCGGGGTTGGCTGGGGGACCTCAGCTCCGTCCCTCCACTGTCAGCCCGAGTGGGGGGCTCTTAGGATCGGACGTCTGGGGCCAGCCAGTGGATGCTGGTGCATCCAGCTGGGCTCTAGACCTTTCCATAGCAGAAGACACTGACTTGGCAGCAGACTGGCCAGTCGGGCACCGATCTTAACCCCATTCCCAAACCACCAGCAGCCAGAGGAGCCCTTAGTGGAAACCCCAGGCGCAAGGTCAAGGTTGCTGGTCGGAGGGAGGGGCTGCCCGAACACAAGGCTCCACCCTACACACGACTCCTCAAAGCAACCGTGCCTTTCCAAGCTCTGCACCTGTTACCAAGATTTTGGGAAACCACAGAATTAATTTTTAAGTTCGTCTGGTGAGAGAGAGTAAGAAAACCTCAAGGGGAAGAACCCTCCTCAACAGGAACATGAATCATAAACACCGAAGTCGTTTTAGGAAGGGAGGCAGAGGGGAATCAGTCTATCAGCAGAGAACAGAAAAGCCGGCCGCGTAACAGATACGGCTTTCAAATGTGATGCGGTACACAACACAGAAAGAATTAATAGATGATTGATTGATTAGAGATGACTCGTTAACATAGGATTTCAGGATGTTTAACTATTTGGGAAAAAGTCAGTTTAGAGCCTCACCTCCCACTACACACCAGACTAATTCCAGAAATAACCATATTAATTCTAGGAGGAAAAGACCTTCCTTTTAAAACGCTGAAAGGAGCCACAGACGGACCAGATGGAGGCTATTCTCACACCAGCGCTCTGGGTGGGCAGGACGGGGCCCATGATGTAACACGGGTTTTGAATCTTCTCTGCCCTTCTTACTCGCCCTCCTGAGTGCACGACGCAATTTCTCAGAGGCTCCCTGATAAGTGATCTTGCAAAAGATGACATGCAGAAGCGGGTGTGACGCTCCAGCCTCGGGCCAGGCGCTGGTTTGCAGGGATGGAAAACCGTGTCACTCTTCTGGGTGTTTTGTTTCATTTTTTGTTTTGGGAAATATTGGTTTCATCAAAACACACTGCCTATGTCGTCACATAAAGCATTTATTTTCAAAATGGTATTTTCAAGCAGGCTCCACTTTAATTTACAATATGGTAAATGTTGATAAATAAAATCTACATAAGTGACAGGTCCTTGGGGTCCTAAGGTGATTTCCAATGACCCAAAGCAATGGGATTCGAAGAGTCAAAGGCTGGAGAAGCAGCCTCGGTCTGCAGGCACGTCGGTTGCGGCCTCTTTCACCCCCCCAACCCCCCCGCACCCTGGCACAGGTTTACCGAGCGCCTGCGGTGCGCCGGGCCTGGTTACAGGTGCAGCGATACAGCCGGGAATGAGAAGGACAAAATGTATGTGTTGTGTTGTGTTAGTCCGGTGGGTATGGCGCCCAGTGAGAGTGGGCTGGCCGTTCTAAGAGGTCAAAATCTCAGTCACACACACACACACACACACACACACACACACACACACACACACGTAAAAAGCTGGACACACGAGCAGCGGATGTGACACACGACAGGTTAATATCTTTAATATAGAATGAGCTCGTACAAATTGATCGGACCCCAGTAGATAAGAGCAAAGGACACTGACAATCCACAAAAGAGGAAATACAGCTGCTTAACATGGAAAAGGTGTTCGACTTTGCTAGAAAAGCAAAGAAATGCAAACTGAAACACGATGCTGTTTCATTATCACATCAGCAGAGGTTTAGCCAGATGACGGTACTCAGAGCTGGCGGGACAGGGCCGCGGGCACGTACGTACCTCCTTGCTGACGGCAGTGTTGATGGATACAGATGTTTCTGGAAACCATTTTGTCAATATGTGATAAGGGGCTCAGAGGTTTTCATATTAATTCAATAATCCCACCTCTGAGAATCTATCTTACGGAAATGACTGGACAGTGGGCAAAGTGTTATGGGTGAAGAAATTCTTCCATTTCCGAGGGTGAGAGGTTCGAAGCGGCACGGGGGACCCCACCCACGGGCGCTGCTGTCCAGCTGCGTGACGGCGTCCACGGCCGTCTCAAACTCAAGTTGGCAATAACACGTTAAAGGGGAAGAGCTTCCCATGGAAGTGAAAAAATCTACAAGATATTGAATCGTTACAGAAGGCAGGATCACAACTATGTCCAAACAAAAAGAAGAAAAACCATGATGGGGCAATGGGGTGGGGTACAGGGGTGGGGGAAGGGAGAGGCCTCGCGGGAGAGCCACCAAAATGTTAACATTTTGCTTTTTCTGCTTTCTACCTCATTTTCCAAAACTTCTAGAAGGTGTAGGTTTGCTCTGATGAAGAAGAGACCTAGAAAATATGCTGTTGCTTGTCCACGGGAAGGAGTCCGTGATGGGTCCCTCTGCTGCGTCTGCACTGCGCCATCTGCCACCCCCCCCCCCCCCCACGTTAGGACCCTGAGGGACCACACGGGGTCATGGCTCCTCCTGTCCTCTGCTCGCGAGCTATCGCCGTTGGCCGCACTGGGTGCTCTGCGCTTCCTTCCGCAAAGCCGTCTTGTCCTCAGTGCTAAGCTCCGACCTAATGCTTCCGGGGCGCAGGGGTGCCCACCCCTCCCACCCCAACTCCACTGCCGGCCGCGGGCCCAAGGGTGTTCTTCTACACAACTCTAGGGCTTGCCCCCTTAAGGCAGCCCCAGTGAGTGCCCAACTTCATTACGATTTCTCTGTCCCATGGGCCAAACTGCCAGGGCCCCCCGGTCACCCAGGGAACGGTCAGTACCCCCTGACGGCAGAGGTCTCTGTACCAGGAAAGTCTTACCAGCACCTTCTCGGGCTTTCAGCAGCCCTGTCCTTACTGACTCACCTGGGACCCATGCAACAGGCCTTCACTTTTCCCGAGAAGTCCCCAAAACGCTTTAGGACATGAAGCTAATCCCAATCACACTATGCGTTCAGCCAGGGGACTCACCCCTCACTCTAAATTCCACCTCAAATGATGCCCTGTTATGCCATGAGGCTTACTTACCAGCTGGGGTATGGAGACCAGAAAAGTCACAATATAGTTCAAATAATGTCAACACCATGAAAAATATAAAGCTTCCCTCACATGCACCGTGTGACACCACTAACCGCCTGGCCCTTTTAGAAACCAATGCCTGCTCTCTGAAATGTAGAGAAGTGATTACCCTGACGTATGTACAAAGCCGCTCCCCTCCCCCGCTTCTCCCCCTGACCGTCCCAGCCCGGCATCTGGCTCCGGCCAAGCCCCTGAGCCGCTTGGCTACTCATTTCCAAAGTTGCAGGGAGCAGTCAAGGTCGCAGATGTGCACGTGAGCACCCGGCCCCAGCCTGCAAACGTCAAGCACCAACGGGTGAAACGCAACTCGCCAAACCCAAGGAAGCTGGAGCAGCCGCCCGGACCCAGCACGACAGTCCCACGTGGAGCCCGGGGCCTCGCGGCCAGCCTGGCCCCCCTGCCTCCCCGCTGGGCCCCGCCGCGGGCCTGCCAGCGCAGCAGACTTCTGTGCGCCACGTGGGCGGGCCCGGGGCTCGTAGATGGCACAAGTCCCGCCCTGCTCCCACGCGATGTCTCCCACCCTCGCGGGGCTGGGCCACAGGGAAGGTAGTGTCCGCTCCCCCCGCAGGCTGCCCTCTCCCCGAGCGCCCGTCCCCCCTTGTTTCATTGGCAGGCACCCCACTTAGCAGGCAGACAGTAGAGCGCTGAGCACAAAGAGAAAGTGATCTGTACACCCCCCACCGGCGGGCCCAACCCCCCCAGGACGGTGGCCTCACTGTGTGTCCCCCCCGCCCCCCGTTCATGCTTAAGGAGCACCGTGGTCCCACCTGAACAGCCTCGGCTGCAATCCAGGGGGCCTGAAGCCTGTACTCAGGCAGCTGGTCAGCAGGGCAACTGGGCTAACAAGAGTTGACAATGAGTGGGTGGCGGCGGCCCATGAACCCCAGCAGCCACTGAGTGTCCTTGACCTTGCAAGGCCGTGGCCGCTTTGAGGATGCAGCCGCCTTCCCAAGCGTCATCAAAACTCTTAGGAAGAAAGGACGGACCCCAGGACCCAACCTGTGGGTATCCGGAGACCAAGGTCTTAGGGGGGCAGGGTGCAGAGACTTCCATGGTCACAGCAGGGCAGACGGACCCAGGGCAAGACACCCCGTCTTCCCCCCCGCGGCCCGGGCGGCCACATAAACGCAGTTCGTTTGGCATTGACTATGGCGAGAGCATCACGGCCCAAAGGGCTTGGCCAAGTCTCAGTGAGAAAGTGATTTCCGGGTCTCCCCGGTGAGGAAGCAAAAGACTGTCCGCCGTAAGAGGTATCGCTCTGTCCCTCAGAATGAGGACCCGAGTGCCAGTTCTGTACTGTCCCCACACTGGGACCAAGCAGACCGCAGCTCTTTCCCTTTACAGATGCCACCATGGCCGTGGCTGGGCTGCCAGAGGCAAAATGACGCCTCTCAGGGGACCCAGGTCTCCAGCTCCGAGTCCACGTTCTCTTACACCAAGGCCGGACACCCGACAGACAGCCCAGGCTCGGGGAGGGCATGCCACACCGAGGCTCTGGAGACCTGCGGGTGGTGTGGGTGGCCGAAGGGGCTAAGGTGAAGGCCACATGTCACCTGCAGGGAGACGAGAACGGGTCTCGAGCTAGACGGGCCCACCACCAAGTGACATGGGGCAAAGACGAGGCGGTACACACTAGGAGCTGGCGGGGATTCCCACAGGAGGCCCTGCCAGGGCAGCAAAGCGAGGCCCCCCCCCCCCCCAGCCTGCTGTGGGTCTCAGGCGTGGGTGTACATGACTGTGGGTCTGCGGTGGCTGAGTGGAGCCGCTCAGGGAGCCAAGGTCACAACGGCGAGTACCAGGTTCCCAGATTCCCGGCGCTGCCGCACGCGGCCCACTAAAGCCAGGCGCTGGTGGAAGTGCATCCTCTGGGGGGCTTCTCCCTTTCGCTGCGCCAGCGGTCTTGCCCGGTGGCGACGGTGCAGTGACTACGTGTTCGTGTGCAGTGAAGCCTGCCCCCCAGAAACGCCGGCGCTACACTCCCAGCGGTGAGCCCTTGGCCACACTGTGGGGTGGATACCCCCGGCTGCTATCCTGGGCCCTGGCGGCCCTGGCGATCGCTGCGGGGTGGGAAGCCAGACTCCCCTCCCCAGGAGCCCAAGACCAGCCACCAGCCTGGCCCAAGTGGCTGTCCTTGGGCATCAGTGAGCTCATCACCCACCACAGGGCATCCAGGGGAAGGGGCTGCCGTGGGGGCCTGCAGAGGGTGGAGGCGGAGCGGCGGGAACCTAGTGCGGCTGGGGGAGGTCAGCCCAAATGGTCGCAGCAGGCTGTGGAGCCGCTGTGACCGAGTCCGGGCTGTGCTCACCAGAAGAGTGGGGGGTTGCAGGCGAGAGGGGACGCATGCGCAGCAGGGACAAAGCCAGCACAGATCACTGGGAAGCCAGGAGGGGAACAGGGCGCCCCACAGTGAGTTAGGAAGATCTCCTTAAGGGACAGGTCTGGAGAGGCAGGAAGGAAGGTCTTCAAACCAGGGCGATGCTGTTGAACGGACGTCTCTTCTGCGCAGCGAAGGGTGTATGCGGTCTGCGTGGCTGCAGACGCGACCAGGCCAATTCTTAGAGGTTCCGGGCTCGGGTGGGCAGAGCCGGGGCTGGGCTGGTCCCGTTGGAGGCTGGGTGCACGGGGCAGGGCCCCGTGCCCGCGGAGGCCAGCTGGCGGCACAGCATCTGGCGCTCGCGCACCGCCCGGTTAGAGGCGGAAGTCTTCCGGATCTGGGCGCGCCGCGCGTGCCGGAGCGGAGACTTGTAGGTTCGCCGCAGCTCGGCCAGGAATCCCTGATAGTTGTTTCGCAAGGGGCTGTCGGGCTGCATGTGCGGGATCGCCCACTTCTCGGCCTCCCCGGTCAGCCGGGACACGAGGAAGGCCACTCGCTCGGCCTCGCCGGGGAAGCGCGACGCCTGGAAGATCATGAACCTGTCCATTTGCATCAGGAACCCAGCCAGCTGGCCTGGGTCTCCAGAAAAGGGCTCGGGCAGGGACGTCGGAGGCGTGGTCATGGGTCGGGTCCCGTTGGAGGTGATTGCAGAGATGGGCGGGGTGATCTGCAGGGCCCCCGGGATCCGGGCCCTGGTGCGCAGCAGGGTCAGCTCTGCCATCACGCTCTCCAGCATGTTGGTGAGGTTGGCCTTCTCTGCCCGCAGGGTGGAGGCCTCCCGCCGCAGCGCCGAGTTGGTGAGGCGCAGGGAGGTCAGGGTGTCGATGACGTCATCCATCTGGGCATTGGTGGACGCGGCGGGGGCTGGGGTTTCAGCTTTGGACGTCTGGGGTTGGACCATGTTGGCCAGAGGGCAGCCCAAGGCTGAGGCTGGGGGAAGGGGGGTGTGCGGAACCGAGAACTTGGGCACCTGCGGGGCTAAAATGGGGGAGGCCCAGGCAGGACCCGGGGCGAGCGCGGGGTGCGACGCGCAGAGTGGCTGAGAAGACCAAGCAAGAGGGAGGCAGGGCGGTGGGCGCCGCGAGAATGCGCGCGGCCGGGGCCGGGCAGGCGGTGCGGGCCCCGCCGACGCCGAGTCCGGAGGCGGCTCCTCGATCGAGGCCCTCGCCCGGCCGGCGCGGGCTGCACAGGGCGCTGGACTGTTCTGGGCCCTGAGGGAGAAAAAGATGCTTTAGAAAACGTCCGGGACTGCGTAGACGGGGGCAGAAGGAAAGGGCGCGGCGTGGGGGAGGGGGGCGCCCGGGCCCGAAGCCCCCTCCCCGCGCGGGGCCCGGCGCCCACCGTGGGCAGAACAAAGGGCGGCTGCACCTGCGGCGGCGCGGGGGCCCTGGGACCGGCGGCGGGCGCGTACCTGGGTCTCCCCGGCTTCCTCCGCCGCTCCGTCTGCCGCGCCGGCCGCGACCAAGATGGCCCGATCGGGGGACGCGGGCGGGCCGATGAGTCACGGCGGCGGCGGCCCGCGGAACTGCTTCCCGGTCAGGTCAGGCCGGGGCGGCGGCTGGAGGCGGGCGCGGGCGGCCTCAGGCGGGAGCACGAGCGGGGGCCGGGGCCGGGGGCCGGGGTCGCAGCGGAGGGAGGGCGGGTCGCGCGCGGCCGGGGTGCGGGCCGGGCGGGCGGGGCGGCGGCGGCGGCGGCGGCGGCGGCGGGCGGGCCTCGCGCGCAGGCCCCGCTGGTTGCCATGGAGACCGCCCGCTCCCGCCAGCGCGGCGGCGGCCGAAGCCCCACCCCGGAAGTGACGATCAGCCCCGCCTCCCAGGGGCTACCGCTCGGTGTCCTTCTGCAGCAGCCAATCAGCGTCGTCCGGAGTTGCTGTTTTTTTTATTATTGGGGTAGAGGTCTTCCTGGTTTTGGAATTCTTTTAAGGCTGCGAGCAAAAGTCTTTTTGTATATGTTGTAATTATATATTTAAAAAAATTTTTTAAATACTTATTTTTGAGAGACAGAGAGACACAGAATATGAGCAGCCGAGGGTCAGAGAGAGAGAGAGAAGGAGACACAGAATCTGAAGCCGGCTCCAGGCTCTGAGCTGTCCGCACAGAGCCCCATGCGGGGCTCGAACCCACCAACCATGAGATCATGACCTGAACCAAAGTCTGACGCTTAACCGACTGGGCCACTTAGGTGCCCAGTAAATATGTATTTTTAATGACGCTTGCTTTTCATATTGTAACTTCAATGCAAATTCAAGGTAACACATATTCATTGTAGCAACTTTTTTTGAAGTCAAAGACGTCTGAAAAAACACTTGGTGTCACTCAGAGCCCCTCGACCAGAAGAGAACAAATAGTAAAAATCTCTGTAGCCCCACCCTGTCATCTCTGGCTCGCGCTCACCCTCTGAGATAGCCCCCTCTCTGCTACAAATGCGGAGCCATGATAAACTCTACAAAGAAAGTATCGAGAGGATCTGGCTGGGCTCAAAAACAAGATGAAGTCCACTGTGATTCAGACACACAAAGTGCTGAATAGTACATCCACGGGGCTGCTGGGCCCTAGGTCCTGGGATGTAAGGGGCCCACAACAGAGCTAGGCTTTCTCTTTGAAGCTAGGGGAGTGAGGCATCACCTGTATGTCAGAAAGGAGTCTGGAAAATCCACTTGGACCATTTCATGGGGCCATGACTTCTGTGAAGGTATATCCTTGGGACATGGAAGGACACGCAGTGCCGTGAATCTCATGACCCCTGGTTTGATAAGTAGACCCTCGAAGGCCAGGAAGGGTGAAGCACCTTCACCAGTATAAAACATGTTCTGTACTGTAGACCAGGCATTGCGGGAGCCACCCCGCACTGCTAAACTGGGCAGAAAGGGTGCTCCAGGGAGTAGGAGCATTGTGGTACACAAAGAGTAACACAAACACACACACACACACACTGCAAAAGACAGCCTTTTACCCAAAAATGAACCTAAAACTCAAAACTAAAGCCCACAAAGACATCAAATGCTAAGAATATTGGCCACCAAAATGAATAATCATAATAAAAATTAACTCTAGATGAAATTAAAATAAAAGAACAGGCTCCAGGAAAAAAGACTCTAAAGGAAGTATATTTAAGATCCTCATTGAAGATAATGAAGGAATAACATTTGTAAGAAGAACAGACATGGGGAAGGAGTCAGGAAAGCAAAAATGTCCCAGCATGCGGTGGCTATGAGAAATTACCTTTTCAAAGGCAATAAAGTCAACCTACATGTCCAGGAAGATGGAGTTCTTTCAGCAGAGCACAACAGAAAAGAATGGTCAAAGAAAAAAGAGAAAGAGAGAGGCTTTACAAAGCGGAGAGAAAAAGGCAGATTGGGTAAGTTGTTCAGGACGCAAGGACTGACATAGCAGTGAGTTCCCTGAGAAATTTGCATCATGTGTCTCAGAGTCGGAGAAACTGGCAAATTGGAAAATGCCAAAGGGTGCAGACAGAAACGTTCCCTGCAAAGGCCTGCTCTCTCTCAGGCCAAAGAGTCAGGAAAGATACAGCCTAAGGAGATGAAAAGCTTTTAGACAATAATCAAACTCTCCAAAGTTAAAGACAAAGAGAACCTTGAAAGCAGCAAGAGAGAGGCAAGTGATTAACTATAGAATGTCATCAATAAAATGAACATCTGCTTTCTCATCAGAAACCGTGGACGCCAGAAGGCAGTGGGAGGATGGATTCAAAACTCTGAAAGAGAGGACTATCGACCGAGAATTCTATATTCAGCAAAACCAGCTTTCAAAAATGAAGGAAAAACTAGGACATTCTTAAGTAAATAAAAACTGCAGACCATTCATCACCAGTAGACCTGCTGTATGAAAAATAATAGAGTTATCAAAAAAATGTGAAACAAGGAAATTAAAAATGGTATGCTGCAAAACATCCGCTTCATGTGAAAGAGGGCAGTGATGGAGGAAGAGAGAAGTTAACAAAAAATAGGACATATAGAAAACAACAAAACAGCAGATGTAAATCTTACCTTATCAACAATACATTAAACATAAATGAATTAAACACTCCAGTTGAAAGGCCAAGATCAGAAAATGGAGTTTTTAAAATTTTGTTTTTTGAATGTTTATTTATTTATTTTGAGAGAGACAGAGACAGAGTGCAAGCAGGGAAGAGGCAGAGAGAGAGGGAGACACAGAATCAGAAGCAGGCTCCAGGCTCTGTTCTGTCAGCCAAGAGTCTAACACGAGGCTCGAACCCACAAACAGCGAGATCATGACCTGAGCAGAAGTTGGACGCTTAACCGACTGAGCCACCTGGGCGCACCAGAAAATGGAGGGTTTTAAATGAATCAACTGAAAGCTGTCAACAAAAGACACACTTTAGATTCAAAGATACAAAGTTGAAAGTAAATGAATGGTAAACGATATGAAAGTAGCCAAAAGAGGGGCGCCTGGGTGGCTCAGTAGGTTGAGCGTCCGACTTTGGCTCAGGTCATGATCTCACAGTTTGTGGATCAAGCCCCACATCACCCTCACTGCTGTCAGCAAAGAACTTGCTTTGGGTCTTCTGTACCCCCTCTCTCTGCCCCTCCCCTGCTCTCACACTCTCAAAACTAAACATTTTTTTAAAGTAGCCATAGCCAAAATTGGCTATGCCAATATCAAACAAAATAGACTTTAACACAAAAATTGGTAACAGAGACAAAGAAGGACATTTTGTAAAGATGAAAAGATCAGTCCAGCGAGATAACAAGTATGAACACATATGCACCCACCAACAGAGCCTTCCATTTCAAACCCTATCTACAAAGGTATAGCGAATGAGAATTTGTCCAGAAATAAGCCCTAACATTTACAGTCAACTCATTTTCAAAAAAAGGGCCAAGACAATTTAGTAACAAAAGAATAGTCTTTCCCAAAACAACTGGCTATCCTTAGCAAGGAACTAAGTTAGTTCCCCTCCCTCACACCTTATAGAAAAATTAACTCAAAATGGATCAAAGACCTAATATAAGAGTTGAAACTATGAAACTCTTAGAGGAAAAACTAGTACTAAATCTTTGTAACCTGAGATTGAGGAGTGGTGTCTTACATGCGACACAAAGTACGAGCAACAGAAGAAAAAACAAATTGGATTTTACCAAAATTAAAAACTCTTGCAAGTTTCAAAAGATGCTGTCCAAAACGGGAAGGGGTGCCTGGGTGGCTCAGTCAGGTAAGCATCTGACTTCAAGCTCAGGTCATCTCAGGGTTCATGAGTTTGAGTCCTGCATCGGACTCTCTGCTGTCAGCACAGAGCCTGCTTTGGATCCTCTGTCTTCCTCTCTCTCTGCCCCTCCCTCATTCTCTCTCTCTAAAATAAAAACAAATGTTTAAAAAAAAAAAGAAAAAGAAAGTGAAAAGGTAACCAATAGAATGGGAGAAAATATTTCCAAATCATATATCTGATAAGGGTCTAACATCAAGAATATATTTTAAAAAACTCTTATAACTCAATGGTAAAAAGACAACCCAATTTCTTAAATGAACAAAATACTTGAGTAGATATTTCTCCAAAGACAATATACAAATCGCCCAGAAACACATGAAAAGATGTTAAACATCATTAGTCTTAGGGGAAATGCAAATGAGAACCACACCAAGCTATCATTTTACCCCCTCTAGTATTACTATAACTTAAAAGATCAATGATATCGAATGCTGTTGAAGATGTGGAGAAATTGGAACCATCATGCATTGCTACTGGGAATGTCCAATACGGCGCAGCTTCTGTAAACTGGCTGGGCAGCCCCTCAAAAAGTTAAATGTAGAATTTTCATAGAACCCAGAAATTCCATTCTTAGGCATTATTATGCCCGAGGTAAGTGAAAACATGTGTCTACACAAACACTTGGAAATGAATATTTGAAGCAAGATTCAGAACATTTTGAAAGACATAAGCAAGCCACATGTCCACCCGCTGATGAATGGGTAAACATGTGGTATCATTGTACAATGGAATATTGATTGGCCATAAAAAGGAAAGAAATCTGATACGTGCCACAACATGGGCAAACCTTGAAAGCATTACGCTGAGTGAAAGAAGTTAGATACAAGGACCATATGTGTATGGCTTTATTTATATGAAGTGTCCATGACAGGCAAATGCATAGAGATGGGGAGTATTCGAGTAGCGGCTGCCAGACTCTCAGGAGAGGAAGGGAAAGGGGAATGACAGTGGATTGGAGCGCAGTTCCTTTGTGGGGCGACGAAAATGTTCTGGAGTTAGTGTTGATGGTTGTACGACCTTGTAAATATACTAAAAACCACAAAAATGTATTCTTTTTATTTCTTTTTATTTTTTAATGATATTTTTATCTCTCTCTCTCTCTCTCTTTTATTTTAGAGAGAAAGAGAGCACACGAGAGGAGGGAGAAGTGGAGAGAGAGACAGAGAGACAGAGACAGAGAGGAGAGAATCCCAAGCAGGCTCTGCGCACAGAGTGGAGCCTGACCTGGGGCTCAATCATGCAACCCTGGGACCATACCCTGAGCTGAAATCAAGAGTTAGATGCTCACCTGACTGAGTCACCCAGGTGTCCCAAATTGCCTTCTTTTTGAAAGAGAATTTTATAGGGGCGCCTGGGTGGCTCAGTCCGTTAAGTGTCCGACTTCAGCTCAGGTCATGATC